TTTCTTTTTCTTTCTTTCTTTCTTTCTTTTTCTTTCTTTCTTTCTTTCTGTCTTTCTTTCTGTCTGTCTTTCTTTCTGTCTTTCTTTCTTTCTTTTTCTTTCTTTCTTTTTCTTTCTTTCTTTTTCTTTCTTTCTTTCTTTCTTTCTTTCTTTCTTTCTTTCTTTCTTTCTTTCTTTCTTTCTTTCTTTCTCTCTGTCTCTCTCTCTTTCTCTCTCTCTCTCTCTCTCTTTCTCTCTTTCTTTGTCTTTCTCTCTGCAGAGCGCCCTGAGCGCGCCTGTCTGGAGCGTATTACAGAGCGCGGGCGAGCGCGCCGTCCATGGCTCGCCCTGCTCTCTTTCTTTCTTTCTTTCTTTCTTTCTTTTCTTTTCTTTTCTTTTTTCTTCTCTTCTCTTCTCTTCTCTTCTCTTCTCTTCTCTTCTCTTCTCTTCTCTTCTCTTCTCTTCTCTTTTCTTCTCTTCTCTTCTCTTCTCTTCTCTTCTCTTCTCTCTTTCTTGTCTTTTTTTCTCTCTCTCTCTCTCTCTCTCTCTCTCTCTCTCTCTCTCACTCTCTCTCTCTTTTTTCTTTTTAAGTTTCTCTTTCTCTGCCTTTCTCTCTGCAGAGCGCGCCTTTCTGGAGCGTATTTCAGAGCGCGCAGAGCGCGCCGTCCGAAGCACACGAGCGCGCGAAGGCTCGCCCTGCTGTCTTTTTCTCTCTCTCTCTCTCTCTCTCTCTCTTTCTCTTTAAGTTTATCTTTCTCTGTCTTTCTTGGAGCGCGCTCTGAGCGGTCCTTTCTGGAGCGTATGTCAGAGCGCGCGCCACAGAGCCCAGCCACAGAGTTGACAGAGTTCAGGGGCGCGGTGAAGAGGAGGACAAGAGGAGGACAAGGCCACGCAGAGCCCAGCCACACAGCCCACGGGCATGGCCAAGAGGAGGACAAGAGGAGGACAAGGTCTGCACACAGGCAAGCCATAGAGTTGACAGAATTCAGGGGCGCGGCCAGGAGGAGGACAAGGCGAGCCCAGCCACAGACCCCAGCCACAGACTTGACAGAGTTCAGGAGGACAAGGCCTGGACACAGAGCCCAGCCACAGAGTTGACAGAGTTCAGGGGCGCAGCCAAGAGGAGGACAAGGCCCACGCAAGGTCGGCGCTTGCTCACTTCATCTGCCGCCTGCTCAACTGAGATGTGAGTGGAGCATGCCAGCAGCAGAATGGCGGCCGCTGGTGCCCTATGCCTTCCGGCAATGCAATGCACTGATTCGCCATTGTGGGTGCTTCGGTACACCAGACACCAGGGGCCAGACTGTTGGCCAGGTCTCTTGCGCCCTGTTGGCCACATCCATGTTCAAGTGGACCAAGAAGGCGTTGTCCAAGACCACTCCGCCCCTCTCCTGGGGCGTCTTCTTCATAGCTGTCACCTCGAGGTGAGGTGAACTGCAGGAAAGGAGCTTCGAGTGGACTCCATCGCAATACCCGACAGCCAAAGCTGCCCGCCAGCAGCAGCGTGGGAGCCAACGTGGGGCGCCCCTCCACTGTGTGGCGAGGTAGTCGAAGGTAGAGTCCTGCGGCGCAGGCGCAAACTCTGGCAGGGCCACTGATTCGGCCTGCCTGGCGGACGCTCGTGGCTTGGCTTGATCTTTGGCTTCAACTCAGCTGCCCCCGCGGCGTCACTCACCGCTGCAGCAGAACTGGAGGCCTGGGATCTAGGCGGCTGATCAGGTGATCGAGGCCGTTTGGTAGAGACCTTCCGGATTGGCAACGGGACCGGTGGGTGCTTAGGCGTCTAAGTGCCTGAATGTAAGACCAATCGGTTGCTTGAACACAATCCACTCTGTGTCCTTTCAAGAACAAAGTGAACGCGATCTCTGCGCAGCTCAAGTGCCCTGCGCCGTGCGCCAGGTGGCTTGAAGTCCAGCCCGACGAACGGAGCGCAGAACCTTAGGCAGGGGTTTTCCGGCTTGGCCGTAGAACATTGGCAGTAAAGCGCTGGCGCCAGCCAGAAGTTCACGAGACTCGAAGTCGAGCTGCGCGTATCGAAGCCTTTGAAGACGAGCGTTATATACTAGCCCCTTTGGCTAACTTAGCTGTGTTACCAGCGCGACCACGCTTTGCATTTGGACTGGTCCATGACAATGGTAACTCCTAAAAGGTCAACATTGCTTTTAACTGCAAACCTACGACCATTTAGAGACACCGAAGCGAAACGCCTTCCTAGCTGTGACGCGATGGCAAAGGTGAAGCTTTTGTCGCGACAATTTCCTGAAAGGTTGGCGTATTCAGCAAGTATTGTCACCACTTTTTGCAAAGCAGGCGCAGTCTTGGAGACAGCATGAACATCATCAGCGTATCCACCTGGCTGCTTAACCTCAGCCTGCGCTGGCGCTTCACAAGAAACTGCTTGGAGTCAAAGAGCGGTAGCGCAGTTCTTCTACGGAGACTCTGCAAGATGCCATTCGTGGCGGTCCACTCCGACCCCACTGCATTTTTGGAAAGCTCCCACTGTCTTTTGAGCGAAGCATACATGCTTTTCGAACATCGGCAAGAGAATACGGTTAGATAAACCCCTTTCAGTTAAGACGCCGAAGAAGATGCCATGAGGAACCATGTCGAAACACTTACGAAAATCAAAAGCCACCCCAAACAGTTCGTCACCGGCCAAGATAACTTTTATTAACCCATGCAGCCAGTTGCCAAAATAAGTCCTCAGTTCCGGAGTTGCGTCGGAAACCCTTGGCGTTGGCATGAATCCAGTTCTCCTGCCATTCCAAGAGGTTTTTTGTCCGCATGGAACTCAAGCTCTGACTCTGTGTCACTAAACTCATTAGTGACACCGGTCGCAGCTCAAGAGGCCCTGTTTGATCAGGTTGCTGAGGAACAAGACAACACAGCGCAGTCCCACACCCCAGTTTCTTCGATGGAGTCAAAAATCAAAGCCAGTTGGTCCCAAAGAAACAAAGGCAGGCGCTGAAAATCTAGAAGTTTCAACCGTCATACTCCCTGAAGGTGTGTTTAGATTGAGCTATCGCCGCCTTTTGAAGTTCAAACCCTTTAATAGCTCAAAACCGTAGGGACAGGAGTGTACCTACCAAATTTTGGTACGAAAACAAGCCCAGGAGGGCTCTGAGCAGTTCACACACTTACGAAAAAGGCCGCCAAGCCTCTTGAACAAGCTGGTCTATTTCTTCAAGGTTGCCAGTGAACG